GTTCAACAGACAAAAGTCCAAGCCAACTCTCCCACCGGTATCCGATGCGGCCAATCCACGAATCCCTTCGACCCGCCTTCTCAAACGAAATTAAGCGTAGGTCAGTCTAAGAAACCCAGCTTCTCTTCATATGCAACTCAGCTGGTCCGGTGCCCAGCCTGTCGTGCGGACGATGAACAGCACAAGTGCCGACCGGGCCTTGACAACGAGACAATCAGGCGTAAGAAGCCGAACAAGCGAAGGAACAACAGCAGACTAGCGGGACACTTCTGACGAGACGATGACAAAGGGGCTCACGTAAACGACCCAACAGGCCCGAGCGAATGTTTCGGGCCTGCGCTACGGCAGGTGAAGGTGTTGCCAGCCTTGTCGCCACGGGACACGGCTCAGCACACTATGCAGACGAGTCGTCCGAACCCCGCCTGGCTGACCCGGGTGAAACCCAGTCTTGGCGGTCCAACAGAGATACCCGATGCCGACCAACGCACACAACACTGGCCAGGCGACAAGTGGCCTGACACCTTGACGCCAGGCCGCTTGTAGTCCGGTCGTGGAGAGCAGACACAGCCTGGCAGCAGAGTCGCGGGCTCGAATCTGTGACCTTAGGGTTGTTAGGCGAACAGTCTCACTGGGGCCGTGGCAGCCCTCGTGAAACAGGCCAGCAACGCGCTGCGGACAGCCGAGATACCAGCAGCTTGCACCTGCCAAGTTTTGCTGATCTGACCCAAATCGCCGGCTCGCCAACAGATGAGGTTGAAAGAGGACAAGAATCCGCGAAGAGAAGTCGGCATCGTGTGTGCATTTGTGCGTGTGGAGGGTGGGGTGTATGTGCAGAGGGAGGATGAGTGATGCCATAGTGAAACCCAGACAGGCGGACAGACGAGCGGAAATAGAGGCGTCAGAGACAATCGATTGGCGATAGACGAATGAAGAACCTGAAGAGGTCGTGTGTCTTAAGCTGAGACTGTCTCTTCATGAGACGACATCTAAGCGTGTGTGCATGAGTCTGAGGGAGACAAAACAAATGAACACCAGTGCGAAATGTTACACAGGCAAACGTATAGGAATCAAAGCTTTTTCTATCTGGCTATTTCCAGATACATAACTAGCTATATCTCCTTCTGTGGCATCTGCCTTGGCAACACAAATGCACATACCAATATGAACTTACATATATATATATATATATGTGTGTGTGTTTATGCATAGATGGATGTGCATTCATACAGGAATACATACAA